CGGCATTCCAACTGCCTCGATCAGTTTAAGAAAATTCAGTCTGAATTCACAACCATTCCCAGTGATTCGGGTTTAGGATCAAATCTCGACGGGTCACAGCACGAGGGTGGTACAGCCCGTAGAGATAGTTTTAACCGTTTGGCTAGAACCCTAGACTCAGAAGGCGAAGGTATATTGGAATTGAACATTGGGGATTCTGAAACGTTGAGGAGGAGAGTGGAACAAGAACAGTCAGAGGAAGAGGACCCGAGAGCGAATTTGAAATGCCCGCTCTGCCGGGGTACTGTTTTAGGATGGAAGGTTTTGGAAGAGGTGAGAGATTATCTCAACTCGAAGACCCGGAGTTGTTCACGGGAATCCTGCTCTTTTACAGGGAATTACCAAGAATTGCGTCGACATGCCAGAAGGGTTCACCCGACAACCCGACCTTCAGACATTGACCCGTCCAGGGAGAGAGCATGGCGACGGCTCGAACACCAGAGAGAGTATGGGGATATAGTCAGTGCTGTCCGTTCTGCCATGCCTGGTGCTGTCGTGGTCGGAGACTATATCATAGAAAACGGAGATAGGTTTTCTGGCGAAAGGAGGGAGAACGGAAATTCGGGCGAGATCAACGCACCTTGGTGGACGACTTTCTTTTTGTTTCAGATGATTGGATCACTTGACCATGGAGGAGGTTCTAGTGGCAGCGACTCGAGAGCTCACAGGTCACGGGCATGGAGGAATCATCGGCGCTCTTCGGAAAGGCGATACCTTTGGGGAGAAAATCTACTCGGTCTACAAGACGAGCATGACAATGGTGACGAAGATCTGCGTATATTGAGCGATGCGAGCGATGGAATGTCGCCTGTTCCAAGAAGGCGTCGAAGGTTGCCTCGTTCGAGATCAGGCAATGGTAGCCCACGATGATTGGACCGAATCAAAGTCACGTCCTTCTGGTAAAGTTTCAACCTTTTTTCTCATCGAGATAATACTTAGGGGTGCGCATAAATACCCGGTTTTCGGGTTTTCAGTCTTTCTCGGGTACAGCATAGGTTATTTTTCTTACCCAAACAATTTTGTCAGGTATCTGTTATTTAGTATCCAAGATCTGGATTACGAGTACGGGTATCGAAATATGATACCGGAGGCCTTCGTTTCGGGTTTTGTTACCCCGAATATTTCGGATACTCGGCCTCGTGTTGAAAACCATCAGTTTATCGTCATGTCAGCCAACTTGGTTGTTATGGCCAGGTACCTTTCATATTAGGCAGCGAGCGTGGCGGAGACAAAGGGTTGCCTCTCTCTGTCCGAAGAAGCTTTTGAAACCTCTCTCTGGTCGGAAGCTTTAACCAGTTGTCGGAAAATTCAAGAAAGAGAGATGTGTTTGTGGACTGGAAGACCTGACCTGACCCGATGGATCAGTTAGGGTTTCTGCTTGAAGCTCTCCATCGTTGTTGTACCTTGGAACCTCGAGGGAGTTCACTCGTTGTATCTATCTTGTATCATGTGCTTGGCTTTTATACTTGTACATTTTCACACATATATATATATATATATTGTAATGTAATTATTTCAAGTGATTAAGGAGGATTTTGATAATATAAACTGTGATTGATCTTAATCTATGTTTCTCTCTTAGTTCATCCCATAGCTTTTCAGTGACAATAGTTCAATGATACTTTGTACGATCTTATTGGAATTTATAGGTTTTCTTATATATAAATATCTCGTGTTTAGTTTTTTTTTATTAGATTAAAATATTTTATATAATAACATAAATATACCAATTGAAAAGATTATTTCCGTCGTATCTTGATATGGTTTTGTTCAGTTGGACTGTGTTGATCAACTTCTTAGATCATAGAGTATAGAAAAAATTCTCAAAAGATTGCAATTATTATATCCTTTTGCATAGAATCCATAACATAACATCAACATCATGTAAGGGCTGAGGTTAGGCCACGTCATCATTAAATAAAAGCATGCAAGCATGAAGCTTACACACACGTTAACATCTCGAAAAGATTCAGCTAGAACATGTTTTGCATGTTTTTACTGTGTTCCAAGCGTTAATTTCTCCGATCTTTTACTTTATATAGTTGGACCAAAAATCTTATAAATTTTCAAATTAAAAATTAAAGTACGGCGTACACATATTTTTAGAACAAGTTAATAATAAAAACAAATAATCACTTTAAATATTTTTTTTAAAGGTAATAAACTAAAAAATATTTTGAATTAATATAATATTAAGGTTTTTATATTGTTATAATATTATTTTAGTTTAAAATTTTAAGTTTGTTAAAAACTTTAATTAAAATCTATTTTATATAGTAAAAAATTATTTTTATTTCATAAAAATAAGAAAAATTGTTATTTTACAAGTTAATACGATGAATTTCGAGTCCTACCTAAATATAAAATAATGTAGAAGCATCCTATGATAATATATAAATTTAAAAATAATTACCATGTGATCATGGCATGTTCTTGTTAACGCTTAGCATAAAAATATACACATGCCCCACATGATTAAATAGACATGTTTGGTAGTTGTCCCAATCAGACAATTATACATCTCGTTAAAAATTATGTAGTAAAAAAATACTATAATTTAATTAAGGAAAAATAAACAAGTCTACATTTCACGAAATAAAAAAAAAAATAAACAAGTTTACATTTCAAGAAAAAAAAAAGACGAGAAGCACGTTGTTAGGTTTTTTTTGGTTATTTCTAATTATTTATTCTGATTTTTAAAAACTGAAAATTATGCATTTGATTTTTATGTAACATTACGCTTTGGTACGTATGTGTTATATCCGTATTAGATTTTTGCTTAAAAAATTTATTTCCGTAAATGACTTTTCACTTCCGTATATATATTGTAATTCGGATTCGTTTAATCTAGTTTAAAAAATATATATATTCAACCAGATTTCATTTTAATAATCTTATATTACTCTCGATTCAATGCAATATTTTTATATATCTAAACTGAAATATCTGCCAAATACCATTACTTATCATATCCCATTTGGTTACGAAATCTCTTTTTTTTTGTTTTTTTTTTACTAAGAGAATTCAAATAAATAAACAAAAAAAATCACTTAGGGGACCGCGAGAATTTGCCTAAGGACGATTTACAAGTATTTGGTTGAGAGGAAAGAGACCAAAGCTTATAAAGGAGAGGTAACATCAAAGTATGTTTTCACATTATATCTTGGAATATATTTCGAAAAATATCAAAGAATAAAATTATCGGTTGGTATAATATACATAAAAAGAAACCTATTATTGAGGCCTATATACACATATATATATATATATATATATATATATGTGTGTGTGTGTGTGAGAGAGAGAGAGAGAGATTTGCTTATATATATACAAACACATGTACTTGCACCTTCCTGTGTATGGATCTCTCCCTTCTTCCAAGTTCAGATTTAGTAGAATAAAAAATTAAACTCCAAACTCTTTTTTTTTTATAATAAATGTTCTGTGTGTTGTTTACATCTTGTGATCCAAAGCCTCATATGTCTGCATGAGAATCTGCTTGCAACATCGCAGACAGATCTCCCAAAGACCTGCACTTTTGACCCCATCCATATATATACTTATACTATATATATATATATATCAAACGCCCCAATAATATAATATTATTCTTACAAGAGGGCCTCTGAAGATTCTCTCCGAACATGCAGGTTAGCCATTCACTAGTATGTATATATATGTGTGTGTATGTGTTATATATATACACTATTGGTTAAAAATGCACCCATTTGTGGATTTGACCAGATCCTTCAATGGCTCTTAAAGTTGGCAAAAGGTGCAGTCTGATAATCACAATCCTGTCTCACCAGTCATGCATGATTCCACTCTAAATTACAAGTAAGAAGAAGAAGAAGAAGAAGATCTGTTTCGTTTGATGTCTAGGATGAAGCAACAAGCAGAAGATGAACAAGAACAAGAACAGCGGAAACAGGTTGTCTCGAGAAGATTCGATCCGAACAACAACATCAAGGTCTTACCGGTAACAGAGGCAGCCAATCTGAATCTCCCAGCGAAACTTGACGACAACGCTAAAGAGAAAACGAAGAACGAGCAGACGAAATCGAAGGCCGCCATTTCCAGAATGAAAGAGCTCATCAGATGGGTTTCAGCCTCCAAATCCGACAAGGCAGTACTCAAGTTCATCTCCCCAAAGGTATATATATATATATATATATATATATATGTGTGTGTACGATTCTCTGTTCTTTTCTTTTTTTGATAAAATATATGTACGATTCTTCCTCAATGTACCTTGTTTTTTTGCAGATTCTGGAGTTCGGAAAGAGATCAACGCTTCGAAGGAGACAACCAGAAGATGAATCTCCAGAGATTAGTTTAAGATGGGAGAGTGAGAGTGAGAGCTTTCCCGCTCTCTCCTCCGTTGTTTACGCCGAGATCCCCTCCGTGTCTTCGCCTAAGCTCGCAGTTTCCGTGGGTTCCACGCCACATTACCATCTAGGGCTCAGAAGAGGAAACTGGGTCACCACTGATTCTGAATGTAAGTATAGCAACTTTCATAATCCATCTCTCACATTTAGTAAATTATGTTTTCTTTTCTTTTTCTTTTTTTTTTTCAAAAGGGTTGTATATTAGGATATATTATACAGGATACTAATAATGTCGATAGATATATATATCTTAATATAGCTTGGCCAAACAAAATTTATCCGAACCTGAACTTTATTATTTAGTTAGACTTTTTTTTTTGGGTAATCGGATATCTTGGATCAAGGTACAGACTAATCTCCCAAAAGTCAGTCATGTGATTTAGATCATACGCTTTCTCCCCAAATTTGAGGTCTGAATTCGGGACAGGACAAACCCTTTGCACCCCGTTTCATCGGTTGAACTATCCAAATTTGGATAGTTAGACTTATTTTGGTAAAATTTTCTCAAACCGTATAAAAACAAAAATATTTTTAGAGAAATCCTTTTATTCAAACCAAAATTCATAGTTTCTGATTTTAATTCGAAATAGTTTTTTTTATTTATAAAATTGAATAGATCAAAATAAAACTGATCTAGATTTTATATCTAAATAAATAATTTATCTATTTATTTATTCAATTTATCTTTTTGTAATAATTTATTTATAAATACAAAATTTTAATTAAATCATCTATTTGTTTGGCTTTGGCAGTTGTGGTGTTGGAGCTATGAACAGGCACTAAAGCACTTTGCATGACGACAGCCCGAAAATAATTCGAAGAGTTTTTTACTCCCAAGTATCTCTATGCAACAAAACTTTCTCGTATCAAGGCAGTACTCAAGTTCATCTCCCCAAAGGTATATATATATATATATATATATATATATGTGTGTGTACGATTCTCTGTTCTTTTCTTTTTTTGATAAAATATATGTACGATTCTTCCTCAATGTACCTTGTTTTTTTGCAGATTCTGGAGTTCGGAAAGAGATCAACGCTTCGAAGGAGACAACCAGAAGATGAATCTCCAGAGATTAGTTTAAGATGGGAGAGTGAGAGTGAGAGCTTTCCCGCTCTCTCCTCCGTTGTTTACGCCGAGATCCCCTCCGTGTCTTCGCCTAAGCTCGCAGTTTCCGTGGGTTCCACGCCACATTACCATCTAGGGCTCAGAAGAGGAAACTGGGTCACCACTGATTCTGAATGTAAGTATAGCAACTTTCATAATCCATCTCTCACATTTAGTAAATTATGTTTTCTTTTCTTTTTCTTTTTTTTTTTCAAAAGGGTTGTATATTAGGATATATTATACAGGATACTAATAATGTCGATAGATATATATATCTTAATATAGCTTGGCCAAACAAAATTTATCCGAACCTGAACTTTATTATTTAGTTAGACTTTTTTTTTTGGGTAATCGGATATCTTGGATCAAGGTACAGACTAATCTCCCAAAAGTCAGTCATGTGATTTAGATCATACGCTTTCTCCCCAAATTTGAGGTCTGAATTCGGGACAGGACAAACCCTTTGCACCCCGTTTCATCGGTTGAACTATCCAAATTTGGATAGTTAGACTTATTTTGGTAAAATTTTCTCAAACCGTATAAAAACAAAAATATTTTTAGAGAAATCCTTTTATTCAAACCAAAATTCATAGTTTCTGATTTTAATTCGAAATAGTTTTTTTTATTTATAAAATTGAATAGATCAAAATAAAACTGATCTAGATTTTATATCTAAATAAATAATTTATCTATTTATTTATTCAATTTATCTTTTTGTAATAATTTATTTATAAATACAAAATTTTAATTAAATCATCTATTTGTTTGGCTTTGGCAGTTGTGGTGTTGGAGCTATGAACAGGCACTAAAGCACTTTGCATGACGACAGCCCGAAAATAATTCGAAGAGTTTTTTACTCCCAAGTATCTCTATGCAACAAAACTTTCTCGTATTATTTTTTTTATTAAAATGTGAATCGTATTAATTATATCAAAACTTTACGGAACCATGACAAGTGGAATACAAAAGACCCATAATTGGGTATACAAAGATTTAACTTGGTAGACGATTTAGCGGGAGATAATCTCGAGATAATACCAATCTTGGAGAGGAGATGAAGTTGTGATCCGACATCGGCCAGCAGCAGTCAAGAAAATATTTCTTATGCGTCTATCAATCTTAAGACAGGTAATCGCCACTGTATTATAGATCGGTTGCGAAATAACCGTTGATTGTGTTCCTTCTATATGGCCTCCACTGCAACCTGTAGTAGAGTCTTCGCTATAAGACGACGATTGTGTGTTTCTTTGTGTGCGGGGGGTCTGTAATCCACAATACACATTCAGAGAGTGTGATCGGAGGGTTGGCCCATATTCTCCTAGCCATTGGACGCCACACCTCCGAACTGTACGCACAACCAAAAAAGAGGTGGTCAATGTGTCTCATGTGCATGTGCAGTCCCACATAGAATACAGGACTTTCTCGTATTATTACTTATGTTTATTTATCTTTCTTCTTTTTGTTATTTCCTTTTTCCATGGAATATATACGAGTAAATCTTATATATATATATATATATATATATATATATATATATTATCATTCATATATCTTTGGTTGGTACAACGGAAACTAGTAGATCAGAGGGCCCAAAAAAATATGTATTGGAGATATAAATGTGACATATTTAATGATATGTGCAATAACTTAGAGTCATCATCATCATGCAATATACATAATTATTTACTATGAAATTGTGTAAATTAATATTTCTGAATTTTAACCGTTTTGTGCAAAAACTCCTTGCCACCGGGTGACACATCGTTGTAATAAGCCAGGCCAGGCCGAAAATGGCCCAGGTCCAACATAGAATTTAAAATCCCAATATCAAGATGTTATAAATTATATCTTTCATTAAATATATATATATATATATTGATTTGGTTTTTTATTGACTTTCTAAAAAAACCCTTATCAACTCACATGGATTTCCTAACTATTTTTTTAGTTGCTTCATATAAAAGCGTCCAACATATCACAATTTCTACGTAGATAAAAATCTAAAATTAATATTTTTTCGTAGAGATCTAGAAAATCTAAAATAAATATTTTTCTTAAAGAAAAATAAATATTATGTAAAACGTTTGACTGTCGACATCTTTTAGATTCCTCTACTTTATTAATTTGTCACATTTTTTTTTTGTCGTAACCATGGATCGGTGGATATGAACTATGTCTTGCTTTTGGCTAAGTTCGTTGAGACCAAACCTAAGGTTTTCATGCATATGATTTTGCTTGCGCACCTATTAATTTGTACTGTATATATAACTAATTATATTTATACCTTCAGTTTTATATTTTTTTAGTTAAAATTTAAAAAAAAAATGCCACGATTATTACATATGTATATTGATATTTTTGAAAAGTATTGCAACTAAAATATTTGATGGAAAAAATTTCGAAAAATATTTGATTTTCTATGTCCCTAGCGCAACTATTAACTTCCCTACTAAAATTAAATTAACGTAAAATATTTTTATTGACAAATATATTTATTTTACTCGATTAAATATAAAATATTATTGCGTTAAATATTTAAGATTTAAAGAACTTTCCAAAATATAATATTGGAAAATATATTTATTTAATGTTGCAGTTTAAATATTAATGTGTCTTTTAGAATTTATACGGTAAAAATATACTAACATTTGAATTGTAGTATTATACATCATAATTTCTAATATATAACAGAAAATAAAGAGACAATTATGTAGTTTAAAATAAAGAGAAAAAAGAGAAAAAAGAGAAAAAAAATGAAAAAGGCAAGTTTATTCACACCCACACATAAAAGAGATAATAAAATTGAAAACTCTGATTTGTTTTTAGATTCTGAAATTTAGAAATACAAAATATTTTTTCCAAATAAATTAAGAAACTTTGTGTAGATGCTGAGAGAGCCACCTAAACTCCATGATGTCTATGAACCTAGAAGCCATTTTGTCTAGGTTCATTTCCTGTCCCCGTCTATATTTATGTTTTTTGTGTGTATATATGATTGTGATCTATATATATACATATATATATATATATATATATCCATTTCGAGAAACCGAGAGAGAGAGAGAGAGAGAGAGAGAGAGAGAGAGAGAGAGATGAAGAGAGATGCGAATAGAAAAAGAAACGAG